CTCTGATTTATGCATTTTTCCGCATTGTTTTAGAGGTGTCCATGAAATGGGGTCGCCCCGTAAACCAATTTAATACTAAGAGTCTCTCGGTGTTGGCAGCTTAGTAAGAGCATTGAAAGCAATGAAACGCACTGTATATTGGCTGCTTGTTATAAATACAATTGGCAAATTAAAGTGCCGTGGCCGTGTCTGTGGCTGTGGCTGTGCCTGCTGCTGGTCTCGCCTACACCAGTCTCCGGCCGCAGCTCAATTGCATTTTTGGCATTTTCGTTTATTCTGCAAATTTCTTCGTTAAGGCCAAGTGTGTTCTCAGAAACGATATCGCTTGAATAAAAATAGAGCAATCGGGAGAACTCGAATTGCTTATTTCATATCAATAAATATTCTCTGAAAATTCAAAAGAATTTTAGAATAAATTCAATTTAAAATATAAACTAAAACCGATCGAAGGGTGCAAAAATGTTTATTTCATCTGGAATGTAACATACCCATTAAACTTCTTGTTCCATTTCTTTACGGCTTTCGAGTGTTCATGTTCGTTGGCATAACGGCATAATTTACAAATGGCTGTTGAAATTTTTCTGATTTTTGTGTACATTTTCATTTTGCATTGCAAATAAAAGAGAGGAGTGAGGGGCACGAGCACGGAATCGAATTTCGAGCATAAATATATGCGAGAATACAAAAATAAATATGCGAATATCTTGTGCATATCGAGAGATGAGAGCCTCTCCCTCTCCCCCTCTCCCCCCTTCTCTCTCTCGCCGGCAGATGCAATTGACCAACGCCTGGACATGCTTCGTGTGACGTACCCCCGCACCCAGGATTTCCTGAAATTCTGTGTGCCGATGCCGATGCCGATTCCGATGCCACTGCTGCCATTTGCATCCCAATTGAGCTGCATTGCGTGCTCTGGCCACAATGCAAGGCATTAAAATTAGTTTATTTGAGCCCCGGCTGTGCCAATGGGCATTGCCAATCTGTGGTGGTGTCACTCCCCTCCCCTCCCCACCCCTCCCATCCCAACACAGCCCAATCTCTGGCTGGCGCACTCATTGGCATTGGCATTGCTCATACGCAGTGTGTGTCCCATCAGCAATTGTGTGCCAGTGTGTGCTCTGTTGTGTTTCGTTTATCGCCTATATTGTTTACTGTCACCCCTGTCGCCCAGTCTCTGTTGGTCTGTGATTATGGTGTGCTTTCGGTCCGTGTCCGTGAATTTATTTTTGTTAGGATTTTGATTTTGATTTTGATTTAAAATTAAGACTTAGAAATGGAATTATTTCGGGAAATAGTTTTCAATATTTTTCTATAAATTATTCTCAATCAACAAAACAACAAAAAATACCACCACAATACTGTGATTTATGTGCAAATTGTAGTTTATTTATTCAACAAAACGTTGAGCAGTTCTTATAGACAGTGCAGCGTCAGCAACGTCATTGTCATCATCAGCATTGGATGTGTGATTAATGGGCGGGCAAATAAGTTATGGCACTTCATTTGGCCACAGCGGTTGGCCTCATACACAACAACAAACAACAGCAAAAAAACCAGTAAGGAAGGGCCATTAAAAACGGCTTGTCAATGGCCCATAATGAAACTAGTTAAAAGTCCACATTGCCCGGAAATGTGTGTCAAACTATTCGATATTTATTCAACAATTGATAAACGTTGAGCACACAGAGGGCCAAGCCCAGTACATGGACGGACTGAGTGCTGGTAGAGCAGCCATTACAGGGTATCAAACCGACACGGGAGGTGCACACACAGGCCTCGACCTGCATGCCAGTGGGATGGGTCTGTCGATAGCAACCATTGCTGCTGTTCACCCTGGCGCACATGTACGTGATGTTCTGGACTGCAAAAGGGAGCGGGAACGAGGAGGTTATCATTGCCATTCGAGGACTTACACTCATACTTACTGCCTCCTTTGAATATGTAGGAGTACTTGACACACGAGAAGCCCGGCGACATTTGGCAGAGGAAGTTCTCGCGATCCTCCGTCATATTGTGCCACAGGGCCTTCACATCCGGCACCGTATCGTTGGCTAAAAAGCGTTTGTCTTCATCTTGTTTAACCGCCAGAGCCAGTGGTTCTACTCACCTGTCACGACCAGCGGCATTTCGCAGGGAATATCATTGAAGTCGCCGACCCTCGAGTCGCAGGTCTCTGTGTGAATATTCGAGTGATTCTCATAGGCACCCACCCACGTGAAGTGAAAGCACTGTGGAGCTGCGGAAAGAATCAAAGTTCAAATATATTTTTGCCAAAGATTTTTGGCCATCTAAAAACTTTGCACACCTTCGGCCTGCAGGTGATGGAAGAACAGAAGCAACGGTAGCCACAATCTCAACAGTTTCAGTGGCATTGCCGATAAGGTACTTTATTTTTGTATTTCTGTTCTTTTTCGGGTGGAGTAAGCTGGCGTCGGTTGCCGCCACTGACAAAGACACACTGATACTGAGCAGAGATGCCAAACGATAGCGAGCCCCGATCGAGGGGTAGAGATTGCAGGTAGAGTCTTATCAATAAGTTTACTGTCACTACCCGGTGGGGAGTGGTGCAAGGAGAAGGGCAGGCGCTCAGTAATTACTTGAAATGGCATTAAAATTGAGTAAAAAATGCTTCAAACTAAGTGTGGGGCACATCAGATCGATTCTATTGATGGTTGCTTATGAGCTTTGCTCAGCGAGTGTGAATGATGATCTTGTGGGGTTTGCCTTTGGTTCTTCGTTTGTCGAGTAGTATTTCCGAGTCTCTTTGATTGCAATCAGCCATCGATAAGCATTGTTATCTCTCTCTCTCTCTCTCTTTTCCTGTTGGCGTTTTGATAAACAAAGAAAGTGTCATAAATTGTTTTAATATCATTTTTGTGCAATTTATTTTAACCCCAGAAATGCAAGAGGAAAATGTGTTTAGATGTCGCCACCGTTTGCTCCTTATGCAAATGGCATTTAATTAAAAACTCACAATGGTGGCTCGGAAGTGAGGGGGAACAATTAAACAGAAGCAGTTCCTGGTCAAATATTTTGTGAACGAAAGTCTGCAAATTGTATTTGTTGTTAATTGTTCAAATGTCCTGTTCGGGCTTCAGTTTGGAGCCTCCTCGAGTTCCTCCTCTGGCAAAATGAGTTTGAAAACAAATAAAAATGTCAAACGAATGAATAAAAGTTGTCTAATTTAATTTGTTTAGCAGCAGCAGCAGCAGCGGCAGCAGTGGCAGCAGGACAGTGCCCCACGCCAGTATGCGCACACACTCACGTAGTTTGGAAAACATTTGCACAAATTGAATAAGAGAGCTAGAGAGCGAGAGATAGAAAATTTGTGTGCCACTTGTGTATTATTTTTTTAATTTATTTTTTAATTGTTCAAAACAATTAAAATTTATTTACAATTTCGTTTGCTGTGCGCGTGTGTCTGCCTGTGTGTGTGTGTGTGTGTGTGCAAACTTTTGGTAGCGAGAGCCCAGCCCGGCAGCTGCCATCGAGCTACGTGTTCCAAAAACTTTGTTCGATTGTGCAAATTGCATAAGCAAGAGAGAGAGAGATGGGAGAGAGCGAGAGAGTACATCCATACATTCGGCTCTCAACTGCATTCGATCCATCAAACTCGAACTTTTCTTTGACTCTACGCCCCAGTTAATTCTCGATTAACCTGCAACATGATAAGTGTCTTTTGCCGGCTTCTTCTTTGGCTCATTGCTGATTGGGTTCTTTGTCCAGCCATGATGGATCATATTTATTGACACGAAACGGATATAAGCGTCGTGTGGGGCCATGAAAGCTGTCAGTGATGGCCAAGAAACCGCGTCACTTAGACACACCATTTCCCAATACACACCAAAAACTCCAAGTAGAATCCGTTGTAAATAAATTGCCAAAGAGCAAACCCAAACTATAAGTTCTACACACCAAAACGACAGTTCTCCGGGCGTTGAATTCATTAATTATGCAAATGCCTTTGATTCGGTCATGTTTTGTGGCTTCGGCTAACAATACGACCAAAAATGATGTCGCTAAAATGCAAATCTTACGCAAGAGGTTGAGTCTGATGTGCGTGGGGTGGAGAGCAATCACAAAGAGTGCCATGTGATTAGCAAAAGCCGTTAGAGCAGCCGCCAAAAGTCCCAAAAGTTAACAACAACTAAGCATACCCAAACGCATAATCTTATGTTGTAGATTTATAGTTGAATGTAAGCAAATATCGCTGGGGTCTTATGGCGAAGCCTGAATACAATTTGCATGCGATTAAAGTTGAGAAATTGTAAGGCAGGGAAGGGCTGTGGCCTTTGGGTTCATGTGTCACACATGGATTTATGCACGCATCTACCTGCTCTGCACTGGGCATACTTACATATGTACATGTGTATGTATATATCGACAGTAGTTAAGCTTCGATCACTCAAGCAGCTACCGCGAAGAAAGCTCAAGCTCATTTTCCACATATAGATTTATGCACGCATCTACCTGCTCTGCACTGGGCATACTTACATATCTCCATGTGTATGTGTATATCGACAGTAGTTAAGCTTCGATCACTCAAGCAGCTACCGCGAAGAAAGCTCAAGCTCATTTTCCACATATAGATTTATGCACGCATCTACCTGCTCTGCACTGGGCATACATAAATATGTACATATCAACAGTAGTAAAGCTTCGATCACTCACGCAGCTGCCGCGACGAAAGCTCACTCTCAATTCTTGATTTTATAGTAGAGAGAACGAGAGTGCAATATGTGCATGTCTGTGCGTGTGTGTGACTTCAGGCCCGCACAGCTCACGGCAGATCAGTCGATGGAAGAACTACTGTAAATTGCAAAAACAATTTTGCATCGTTTGTTTTCTCCTTCTGTTTGCGCCTGCAAGATTGAGCAGAGCGTGCCATCAGGTAACTGTTTTTGTTTCTGTCTGAGAACTAGTCCCACAGTAACTGCATAAAGTACTTGTATATGTTGCACCTGATATCACTTTCCAGTGAAAGCAGAAGGCGAGGCTAATGTCGTGTCGGTAAATTTAATAAGGCAGAGAATGTAAAGGAACGTTGATGCTGCTACTGTGTCGCCTTTTCCCAATGACTTGCTAAAGCGATTTGCTAAATTACCAAGTTGCCGCTCGGAACGAGGGCACAGCATCGCATCTTTTGTCCAACGCACACACAGGATGCTGTGTCTCTTTTCTCTTCGCTTCCCTCTAATTACAGCTGCGAAGCGATGGCCGATTGCGAGTCCGGATCATTATGTCACCTGTACGAAAAATGTCCCACGTAAGCCGGAAACGAGGGGACCCAGGCCCAGGCCCAGGCCCAGCATTGAATGTCGCTCCCAAAGTGTGGAGCACATTCTGCGGAAATGGCATTTGGGGCTGCTGCTGGTCGTTAGTTTGCCTCTGCAATTCCGAAAACAAGGACCTACATATCTGGTCCTTCCGCTCTTAACCAACGAGCCTCCCCTACTAATACGATTAGTGTCATAATGCCCCACCATCGAGGCTGGAGCAAGGGCAGGGTTTGGGCTTATTTGCAATCTGTGCCTGCCTTCTGCTTCAGCATTGCGATGACCGTTTTCAAGTCGTAGTAGGAGTAGCGATGATAGCTGAAGTACTCCTGATTCTTGCATTTCTTGGGACCCGGCAGCTCGTCCTTCTCCATCAGCCTGAACACGGAGGCTGGCATATAGGAGGGCAATGTGAATGCCTTGGTTAGCAATACTTCCGGCTTATAGCCCGGCGGGAAATCGCGCTCATTCCTGGGACTGGGGCCAAGTCGACCCAACTCCTTGCATAAACACTCAGTGCCGCAGGTGCAGCTACCGCCTGCATTTTGGCAGCCACAACCACAACTAGATAATCGAATGCTATGGCTGGCTGTGGGTGATCGTGTCAGTTTGAGACTCCACAAATTTCCAGGGCAGCGTAGACACATTGCGGATCGGATGTGTGCAGGAACAGGGAATTTGGACAATCAAAAATGTGTAAAAAAAACTATAAATAAAGCCCTCTGCCTCATGGATCACTTGGATAGGGTTGAATTGGGGGAATGAGCACCAGGTTAATCCCCAAAAAGAACACCGAATGAATACGTTTATTTGGCAATCCCACAGCGGCAAGCGGAGAGTGTCATAAACATAAGCTTGTTCTCTGCTGTAAGCCATAAACCAGAGAGCATTAAGCCAAAGCATGTTGAATAATTTCGATCATTAAACTTCTTCCACTTAAAATCCATTCAGGATTTGCCAAGGTGCAAAACTTTAAGGATACGAACAGAGATAAATGCCTCAACTACCCAAAATGTTCAGCCCCCGACAATCAACCATTCAACCATCCGAGCAGCGGGGTAAACTTTTTAAAACTAGCGTTAGAAACAACAACAAAAACAACAACAATGGCAATAAAAATCAGCAACAACAACAGCAGCAACAAGAGTAACCACAGCAAAAGCAACAAAACATTGGGTTAAATAAACGTTGAAGCTCACACTGTGCTCCAGAATGGTTTTTAATACACTCTCAAGGCTCACGCAACACCAAAAACTTTCTCACCTGACACCCACACAAAACGCACACACACACACACGCACACACACTGATGATACACCCAACAATGAGTGCGCACATAACGGTAACTCGACGTCGACGCCCTGCGTCTCCATTGCGGCCATGATTGTGGCTTGTAAATTTATAGTTTTACCAAGAAAATCGCGTTGGCAAAACTTTTTACTACTACAACATGTACATGTGTATGTGTGTGTATGTGCCCTCTGCCCTCTGCCCCACCTTTGCTGGCAGCTGCAACATCCAACTACATTCACAATCACAATCCCAGTCAGCCAGTTGGCGACATCTAATTGCTTTTGTTTTGGGGGCAGGATAAAAGTGCCACACACACCCAGAGACACCCAGAGACACCCAGAGACACCCAGAGACACCCAGAGACAGACGGGGTACAGTTGTGTCAAAGAGGTTATACGGAAGCCCTTTCGTTAAGGTAATTTTCCGCTATAATTTGTATGACTTTGTTGTGTGTGTCTCTGCCTGTGGCTGTGTGCAATGTTTTTTCTTTTCTCTGTTCCACTTAAGGTTAAAAGTTGAAAGTGTTGTAAAAGTGTGCTCGAGCTCTATGCTTGAATGAAATTGAGGTTAGTTCTTGCTAATGTTTCAGGGGAAGGATGTGCTCCGACTGGGGAATAAATTACAATTGAATTTTGCTTGCAAAATATAACTTCGAGCGCTTGCAACCCAAAGTTTGACCTAGCAACAAACATAATATTTACTAATATTTACCTTTGAACCGGTTCAAACAGGAGCAGGAATCATATTTACTCAGAATTCTATCTTATGTCGATTTTTCTTCTATTTCCCTCACCTAATGTTATTTGAAATCAAATCGTAAATCGAATCAAATCTAATCCTTACAATTGGCGAGAATTTCGCAAGACATTCGTTTGACATTCGTGACATTAAACGTGAAATGAAACAAAGCTGCAGCTGCAGATGAACTTTATGCAAATGTTACGGGAATTTTGGTTCCTGCCCCAGCTTCGGACTCATTGCCGAGTTGCAGTTTTTGTGCAGGCATCGGATGTTGCAACTTTTGATGCTCTATCCTGGTTTTGTGGGCATGGAGAAGGGATCTCTTGGCGTAAGCTCTGCCCGAAAGGGTATGGCAACAGTGTAGTCGACCATTTGGTTGCTTGCTTAATTAAAATGCGGAGGCAGTGCGAGCGCTTCATTTGGCCCGCTTAATCGCCCTACCACAGATTCGCATCTCTTCACCCACTTCCAGAAGCAGAACCAGGACCCAGCCTCACCCTCGGCCTCAGTTTCGTGTGCCTGTTGTTGCTGCTGTTGCTTTGCATGTAAAGTGTCAAGTTTTTCATTATAATTTGCATATTTTTCGCCAACTTTTCGTCTGCACCTCCCACCCGCCCACCGCCTCCATGGCGTAACAGCAAGCAACGCAAATGACAACAATAAGCATTATGGCAAGAGCCCGGCCGTGCCCGGCTGCCCCCCTCTGCCCGATTCCTGTGGCTGTGGTGGTTCTAGACAACAATCCCAGGCTACGGGGCAGGACCTAGGCTACACTCTCTCTCTCTCTCTCGTCTATCTGCTAGATACACAGAATGTATCTCTTAAGCTATTTTCAAGTTTAATTCCTTGACTCCTCGGCCCTCGCCCTCCACCGTCTCCCAAGGATGTTGCCGAGCCGCGGCGCATAATCACGCGAAATCTGAAAACGTGTCTGGTATAATAATGAGCACTGATTATAACTTGAAATTGTGTGTGAAAGTACAGTTGTGTGCACAAGTTATGCTACGTGCGGATACCAAAATAAAACAGCAACAACAACGAAATATACACACAGACTCCAAATGAAAATTCGCACAACTTTGATGCGAAACAAAAGGCAGAAAGGAGTCGGTACGGTAAAAAGGGAAAAGCATTGAGACAAGAGGCTGCAGAAAATCATTACTTTCCTCCTAGAGAGAGAGAGAGAGAGAGAGAGCTAAAATCTATTTCCAGCAGAGCACATACATTTCATACCCACTGTGCCGCAGTCTTCACTTCACTCTTCGAGTCTTTTCTTTCTTCACTTCCTTCCTCGCTCACTCTCGCTCGCTCTTCTTGCATTCGATTTGATGCGTATTTAAACTAAAAATGAACTCTTCTTAATCAACTTCCAAGCGGCAGGAGCTGTGTGTCCAGGGCGGAAAGAACTACGAGTAGCCTTCGCCTCAATCAGAGCCGCCTGCCCGCTCGTTCCTGGATGGATGCCCCGTGGCACCATTGTTATGTGGTATTGTGCCAACATGGCTGATGGCGGATGGCTGATGGCATGTCCTCACTCATCCTGCAGTACGTGCGGAGAGCCTGCAGGATATTATATAATGTGTAGTAATTTGAATTTGAAGTGTGTGGCATGGAATGGAGAAGCTTATAAGGGTTCCAGAGACGAGGCAGACGACTGACGCGTCATGCCCTCTGTCGATTTTTCTTACTTTCTTCCCTTTCCAGCTCTCTGCCCTCTGGCATCGGCGATGGAGAAACATCAAAAATGTTCACCCATCCACCAGGACCATGTGGCTGGCGGGGGAGCAGACGGATTAATGAGATTTTCTTTTATGGATTTATGATGATTATTTTGCTGTTATTAGAGTTTAGAAGCGTGACAGTCGATTCTCCACTTTAAAGTAATCCTTTGATATATGACTCAGTCACGAGTCGGATCCCAGACACTGGCTGGTTCCGCTTCGCTCCACTTTAGTTCCCAAAAGCCCCCACTAAATCACAAAAATTGCATGCAACCGCCGCTCCATTAGCCGGCTTTTATTTATGGCAACGCGACATTCAATGACAATTCAATATATTTTTGGGGGATATTCCTTACAAAAAACAAAGGACATGGTGAAAAAAAGTCGAAATCAAATGAAATTTGTATCTGGTCGTCGGTCATTTTTGGTTGGTTGGCCTCTCCACAATCGCCGCGCACAATAAACCATTACAGACGATTAATTTCATTATCCGCGCGCCCCCCCGCTAACGGGAGATCAAAACCAGCAACAGATTTATGCGTACGACCGCAGAAATATCTCTCTCTCTCTAACTGTCTCTCTCCATCAAAAGTGAATGCAATTTCCCAATCTTTCAGGTTTCTTATTTGTTGAACCTTTTGCTTTTTGGATAAATGGCTTGATAAAACTGTTGATAATTTTGGTTGCTGTTTTGTGTGGTTTTATGCAGTCCAGCCCAATCTTTTGTGCTTTGTTCCCATGATGGATTGATCGACGCGATAGAGCGTAAATTCTTTGTTGTGCCATAAACAAAATGAACAAAAAAAATAGGCAATGAAATGGGTCCCAACAGAATTTGAATACCATCCTAAATCCATAAATTTTCATGCTTTTCTTTTCTCTCTTTTTTGCAGAAATAAAAGTTGTTTTATTGCCATGAAAGATAGGAATTTCTTATATTTAATTATGAGTTATTTAGAAAGCCTTTTAAATTTTAATTATTTTTGAGGGAAAGAGTTTCTTTTGTTGGTAAATAGGTTTTATGTGCCAAAGTGCCATTAAAGCAAATGTAAACTTTTGGGATTAAGCAATTGAGAAGAGGGAAAACACATAGAGCAAGGTAGAGTCCCGTTTGTTATTGCTTTTGGTGCGAGCAGACTTTCATGTTGTTGTTGTTGCTGAGAGAGGGCACTGCAGCAAAGCTCGTAAATTCATGCACTCTTGCGATGCAGGTGACGGACGGACATATCCCTCTCACTCGCACTCAGCAACAACGACGACAGCAGCGAGCGCTGGTCTTTAGATCCTCTCTCACTCTCGCTCTCCTCTCCTCGCAGAACAACGAAGCCGCAAACTAACGGAAACCAAAGCTCAGAAGCTCAGCCAACATTTGAAGAGCACAACACACACAGAAAAGCACAACTTCTTGTCGATCGAAGTAATCAAGCTTTAATCAAAATAGGAAAATAAATGAAGTACGGTGAGAAATGGTTCGCTTTCCCCGCGAAGGTGCTGTAACCTTCGATCGGTCCAAGCTGTGCCAAGCTGAGCCCCTGGGACATTTTGGACAAACCAACAGCCAGTTTGAGAGAGCCAGAGAGTGAGAGAGTGAGAGGAATCATGCCTGAGTATTTATTTTGTACTCCCTGGGGTGCATTTTATTTTAATTGTTTCTGTTGTTTGTTTTTTGTACACTTTTCCCCTTTTTGTGTGTGTGTGTGTTTGTGCATTGAGAAATTGAAGCAAATAAATAGAAGATTCAATTCATTAATGCAAACAGATCGAATCGACAGCAGGAAAGAGCATGGGAATCCGACTCGCTAGACGCATTTTTCATGCTTCCGTTTCCGCTGCCACACACAGAGATACAAAGATACATTTTGACTTATTTCTATTTGTATTTGCCACGCTTTTATTTTCGTGGTCGATGGCCGCCACAGGAGACATGAAAGGAGTATCTCTCCACTTTGCTGGCAT